GATGGTCATGTTCATACAATATGTCGTGTAAAAGTATTGAAGTAAATTGTTTTGTAGCTCTATCACAGTTGTTTTTGGTATTTACTAATGAGGTAAGGGGCCATCTACTTTAGGACGTCCGCCAAAATCACAGATTTTCAAGACACCCCCCTCCCCCTGTCCGGGTGTGTCCGAATTTTCAAAACAATCCCCCCTCCCCCGGACGTCCGGATTTCCAGCTACTTTTAAGAGTAAAAATAAAACCAACTCAAATTCATTGTTAATATAATTCAAAGAGTTGAAGTAAAATTCAAAGAGTTGCAATAAATGGGACTTTATCGTTATTTTCTGCGAAAATTTCAGGGCGTCCGGATTTTCAGAAACCACCCCCTCCCCTTGCCGGATTTGTCCGAAATGATGGTATGAAACAAATTGAGGTACTGGGAGTCAAAATCCCGAATATAATTGCAAAATCATATTGTCCCAATCTCTGTCCCATTTTCAGTTTTTGAAGATGAAATTTCCAGGACCGAAATTTTACAGTTTTGACTGATTTTTTCACCTGCAACCAATTAGTAAGTCAATTATAGATGGCAATTGACACGATTGAGGTGGTGGAAGTTTGATTTCGGTCGGAGGAAGCCCACAGCAGAAAGCTTAACAAAAAGAAAAGTTGTATTTTCAAAATGCTGTCCCATTTTCAAATATGAAATTTTCTGAACCCAAATTTTACAGATTGGATGAACTTTTTGCCCAGAAACCAGTTAGTTAGTTAATTGATGATGGTATGAAACCAAATTGAGGTACTGGGAGTCAAAATCCCGAATAAAATTGCAAAATCATATTGTCCCAATCTCTGTCCCATTTTCAGTTTTTGAAGATGAAATTTCCAGGACCGAAATTTTACATTTGTGACTGATTTTTTCACCTGCAACCAATTAGTAAGTCAACTATAGATGGCAAAAGACACGATTGAGGTGGTGGAAGTTTGCTTCCGGTCGAAGGAAGCCCACAGCAGAAAGCTTAACAAAACGAAAAGTTGTATTTTCAAAATGCTGTCCCATTTTCAAATATGAAATTTTCTGAACCAAAATTTGACAGATTGGATGAACTTTTAGTCTAGAAACCAGTTAGTTAGTTAATTGATGATGGTATGAAACCAAATTGAGGTACTGGGAGTCGAAATCCCGAATAAAATTGCAAAATCATATTGTCCCAATCTCTGTCCCATTTTCAGTTTTGAAGATGAAATTTCCAGGACCGAAATTTTACAGTTTTGACTGATTTTTCACCTTCAACCAATTAGTAAGTCAACTATAGATGGCAAATGACACGATTGAGGTGGTGGAAGTTTGATTTTGGTCGGAGGAAGCCCACAGCAGAAAGCTTAACAAAACGAAAAGTTGTATTTTCAAAATGCTGTCTCAATTTCAAATATGAAATTTTCTGAAACCAAATTTGACAGATTGGATGAACTTTTTGCCCAGAAACCAGTTAGTTAGTTAATTGATGATGGTATGAAACCAAATTGAGGTACTGGGAGTCGAAATCCCGAATAAAATTGCAAAATCATATTGTCCCAATCTCTGTCCCATTTCAGTTTTTGAAGATGAAATTTCCAGGACCGAAATTTTACAGTTTTGACTGATTTTTTCACCTTCAACCAATTAGTAAGTCAACTATAGATGGCAAAAGACACGATTGAGGTGGTGGAAGTTTGCTTCCGGTCGAAGGAAGCCCACAGCAGAAAGCTTAACAAAACGAAAAGTTGTATTTTCAAAATGCTGTCCCATTTTCAAATATGAAATTTTCTGAACCAAAATTTGACAGATTGGATGAACTTTTAGTCTAGAAACCAGTTAGTTAGTTAATTGATGATGGTATGAAACCAAATTGAGGTACTGGGAGTCGAAATCCCGAATAAAATTGCAAAATCATATTGTCCCAATCTCTGTCCCATTTTCAGTTTTTGAAGATGAAATTTCCAGGACCGAAATTTTACAGTTTTGACTGATTTTTTCACCTTCAACCAATTAGTAAGTCAACTATAGATGGCAAATGACACGATTGAGGTGGTGGAAGTTTGATTTTGGTCGGAGGAAGCCCACAGCAGAAAGCTTAACAAAACGAAAAGTTGTATTTTCAAAATGCTGTCTCAATTTCAAATATGAAATTTTCTGAAACCAAATTTGACAGATTGGATGAACTTTTTGCCCAGAAACCAGTTAGTTAGTTAATTGATGATGGTATGAAACCAAATTGAGGTACTGGGAGTCGAAATCCCGAATAAAATTGCAAAATCATATTGTCCCAATCTCTGTCCCATTTTCATTTTTTGTAGATGAAATTTCCAGGACCGAAATTTTACAGTTTTGACTGATTTTTTCACCTGCAACCAATTAGTAAGTCAATTATAGATGGCAAATGACACGATTGAGGTGGTGGAAGTTTGATTTCGGTCGGAGGAAGCCCACAGCAGAAAGCTTAACAAAACGAAAAGTTGTATTTTCAAAATGCTGTCCCAATTTCAAATATGAAATTTTCTGAACCCAAATTTGACAGATTGGATGAATCTTTTGCCCAGAAAACCAGTTAGTTAGTTAATTGATGATGGTATGAAACCAAATTGAGGTACTGGGAGTCAAAATCCCGAATAAAATTGCAAAATCATATTGTCCCAATCTCTGTCCCATTTTCATTTTTTGTAGATGAAATTTCCAGGACCGAAATTTTACAGTTTGACTGATTTTTTCACCTGCAACCAATTATTAAGTCAACTATAGATGGCAAATGACACGATTGAGGTGATGGAAGTTTGATTTCGGTCGGAGGAAGCCCACAGCAGAAAGCTTAACAAAACGAAAAGTTGTATTTTCTAAATGCTGTCCCATTTCAAATATGATATTTTCTGAACCCAAATTTGACAGATTGGATGAACTTTTTGCCCAGAAACCAGTTAGTTAGTTAATTGATGATGGTATAAAAACCAAATTGAGGTACTGGGAGTTAAAATCCCGAATAAAATTGCAAAATCATATTGTCCCAATCTCTGTCCCATTTTCAGTTTTTGAAGATGAAATTTCCAGGACCGAAATTTTACAGTTTTGACTGATTTTTTCACCTGCAACCAATTAGTAAGTCAACTATAGATGGCAAATGACACGATTGAGGTGGTGAAAGTTTGATTTTGGTCGGAGGAAGCCCACAGTAGAAAGCTTAACAAAACGAAAAGTTGTATTTTCAAAATGCTGTCCCAATTTCAAATATGAAATTTTCTGAACCCAAATTTGACAGATTGGATGAATCTTTTGCCCAGAAACCAGTTAGTTAGTTAATTGATGATGGTATGAAACCAAATTGAGGTACTGGGAGTCAAAATCCCGAATAAAATTGCAAAATCATATTGTCCCAATCTCTGTCCCATTTTCATTTTTTGTAGATGAAATTTCCAGGACCGAAATTTTACAGTTTTGACTGATTTTTTCACCTGCAACCAATTATTAAGTCAACTATAGATGGCAAATGACACGATTGAGGTGATGGAAGTTTGATTTCGGTCGGAGGAAGCCCACAGCAGAAAGCTTAACAAAACGAAAAGTTGTATTTTCTAAATGCTGTCCCATTTTCAAATATGATATTTTCTGAACCCAAATTTGACAGATTGGATGAACTTTTTGCCCAGAAACCAGTTAGTTAGTTAATTGATGATGGTATAAAAACCAAATTGAGGTACTGGGAGTTAAAATCCCGAATAAAATTGCAAAATCATATTGTCCCAATCTCTGTCCCATTTTCAGTTTTTGTAGATGAAATTTCCAGGACCGAAATTTTATAATTTTGACTGATTTTTTCACCTGCAACCAATTATTAAGTCAACTATAGATGGCAAATGACACGTTTGAGGTGGTGGAAGTTTGATTTCGGTCGGAGGAAGCCTACAGCAGAAAGCTTAACAAAACGAAAAGTTGTATTTTCAAAATGTTGTCCCATTTTCAAATATGAAATTTTCTGAACCCAAATTTGACAGATTGGATGAACTTTTTGCCAGAAACCAATTAGTTAGTTAGTTGATGATGGTATGAAACCAAAATGAGGTACTGGGAGTCAGAATCCCGAATAAAATTGCAAAATAATATTGTCCCAATCTCTGTCCCATTTTCAGTTTTTGAAGATGTACGCCACTGTATTGATCCGAACTGAGAATGGGGACAGTTCGGATCATTAGAAATTATCCAAGAAAACATTTCAACTATGCGACTCATATTAATTAATACTGTGTCTATATAGTCTATGTCCGCCTATGTCCGTCTATGTCCGCCTATGTCCAGTCCTTTTTGGGATTCTATGAGACAAGCGGACATAGACGGACGTGACACCCCCCCCCCCCCCCCCAATATTATACCTGTCACCAAGATGCAGTTATCCTGATTTTAAATTTCAGTGCACTTTTGCCTTTTTTGGTGTATAGTAGTATAAAGTGTAGTAAAAAGGTACACTTTATTATACATTTTTACACTTTTAACTACACTTAACCAAATTATGTTCTATCTATTTTTCGTCAGGGTAAGGGGTTTACTTTACGGCTCGACCAAAAGTTGCCCCACAAATCATTTCGAAAATGCGAACTTGTTCTGCGCAGTCCACTACACGGACGAAATGCGATTGTGTAGTCGAGATTTTATAACATGCTAGAGTTTAACTGATTAGGGTTAGAGTACAGGGTATGGTTATTAACTGCTCATTACAGATATTTAAGGAACGTGTTAAACTAATCACGTTATAGTGCAGCAGAGTGATTTATTATCGTTCACCTCACGGACCATAATATATATTTAATTCATTGATCCGGCCGGTTGTCATGACAGCGCGCACAATATTCACAAATTTCATCATCGCGTCTTACGTTTATGATATTTTAATCAGATGCTACGGAAATTGCCACTTTGTCACAAAGACATCTTTTTGATAGTTTTAATCTTCGAATCAACCAGAATTCTTTAAGAAGAAGAAATAATCATTTTAATTGTATCAGTACATAAAAATCTCTTCTTGATATAGCTTTAGTATCCACTGTTAAAATTGTTACAAATTTGGAATCATCAATCAAGTCCTTCTCAGACAATTTGACAATGGAGCTTTTTTATGTAAAATATCTTTCAAATTACTGTATTTTAGTTATTTACAAACTAAGTCTGATAATTTTTCAGCGAAATAAACTAAAGAAAATCAGCTCAGCAGAAACATAATTTGAGAGCATCTATTTTATAATTTTGTAATTCAGCTGTAAGCCTCTCCAATGTTGTCGAACTCCGGAATAGATTTGAACACAGTTTTAAACTGAGATGAAACTAATAACTCGTCAGGCTTTTCTCTGAACGATTTGGTTCCATAGTCCACACTGAAAGTGATATGATGTTAACAAATAATTTAAATGATGTTGCACCTTTCGCCAGTGAATAATTTACTCGACCTTTTCATCTACAATTAATAAAAACAGGAACTCGTTCATATTACGAACTCCTAGGCCGGTAACCTTAGCAACCTTAGGAAATGATACTCACTTAGAAAACTGAGTATTGTTGTGAAGTGATGGCATATAATCGTATTTCATCCTTGAGAAGGGAGCAAACCTGCAAGTAAAGATATATAAATAGAGTTTTTTAAACAAGTGTTGAACGTGAGAGTAATATTATCAACAAGCAGATGTAACCCCCGGCCCCCCCCCCCCAACAACAGAAGTAACCCCCCGCCCCCCCCCCCCCCACAACAAAAGTAACCCCCACCCCCCCTCCCCCCCCCCCCGAGTTCAGTTCAATAGATCTGATATTAGTTGGGAGTTGATATGAACTTCTTTTAAAAGGAAACTCACTCAGAATCAATAATTCGTTTACACCATTCCTCTTGAACATCCTTTTCTCTGAAAAAACGTTTGATTTAATCGAGCAAATTCATCTATCAGTCAGAAAAACAAAGATCAATTTATTGCAGTTAAACAATCTCAGTCCCCAGAAAACTATCCAGCAAACATAAGTACTAGGTCAACATTATATATGAGCTGCTTGGATACTCCTTCATCAAAACAATTGTTTTAATCAAAACAATACTCACTTAGCCACGTCCTCTGTGATTAACCACGAGTCATTATTTCTGTCTACTTTCAACAATTATTGATAATTCGACTTGTTTCACAAGTTTAGCAATGCGAAAATTTCTAAACTTGCTTATCTCTAATAAGGAAATTTACATCTGAGACAAATTTTTTGAATCTAAAATTGAAAGGTTGGACACCGTAAAATGGGCGACCGGAAAATGTGGTGGGTTTTGAGCAATTTCGCCATATTTTTCCGAACCATATTTTAACCCGGTCGTTAATAAACCCGTCGTAATAATCCCGAGTAAGGTAAAGAGAAATAATCGTTCCTCATCCTTTAAAATTGTGTAGCTGCCTTTAGTTGCCGAGCAAGCAATGTTTTAGTTATATTAGTGCTGGTTGCTTGAAGGGTTAGTTAAAACTTGTTCGCTACATTGTTCAATTATGATTATTTACATACTCAAATTGTGACCCCTTTAACCAATTATGATTGTGCGTAATGTTAAAGAATAGTACGAGCTTCACTTGTTTAAAAAACGAGGGTATAAATTGTACTTTAAAATAACTTTTCAATATGTGATTCAAACGATTTGCTGTTTAAAGACTTCCAATTTTTCCGAATCATGTCCACTGGAAGCTACAAGAATTTGATATGAACACGTGTGAAGATGTTCCTGATAATATGATCGTTCAGAAGGGCAGCTTTGTGTACAACTTGTGACCCTGGCCAGGAACGAAACTCAGGGAGGGATGGTTTGTGGTAAGGATTTTATACTTTAGGACCAGGGGATAAATTCAGGGCATTCGGTATCATTCACATTTCTATATTTTATATCACATTATTTTCTTACTACTTCTTTATTTTTCAGCTGAGTGTCCAGCTGGAAGCTACAAGAACAATGATTTGACAAGTGTGTAGTTGTGACGCAGGATGACATCAAACCTGACAAAACTGCCGTGGTAGATAACGTAGAAGCTTTATACTATTGTTACTCATTATTTGAGACTCGGGTCCACCGAGCATAGCAATGGTTTTTATTATGTTAGATGCTGGTCTGCTTGGAAGGGTTCGGGTTAGGATAGAATGTTAAAATAACGGTTATTAATTATTGTATCACACAATCCAAAATTACTCAGGTCACGTGATTCATATGATATATTACAGTGAGCTGCACGGGACGAAAGATGAGTGGTCAACTGCAATCAGAAACAACAAACACTTTCCAGTAATTCAAGGAACTGTGGTGGAAAAGGAACTTGCTCGGACTCAGGCAGGAGCTCTCTACAAACGGGAGCAGCGAGGGTGACTGCAACTCAGGAACGGGATTTATTTTTCCAATTTAAAGAACCCGGTGTTTACTCAGTTTTGAAAACAGTAAAAGTTGCTAAATAACCATAGCATCACCACAAAGGATTTACTAAACCCTTTATATTTTATACAGCCAGGCTAAAGTTCTCATTCAGACCGACAGAAAGCTAAAGGGGGAAATAAAATAGGGAAGAGTCATTACTATAGTTGAAGCCTAATTAAATAACAAAACTACAGCTAAATGACTCTTAATGGATGATACGGCATTTAACTTAGATATCTAATAAATAAATCTCAATAGTGACTAGTCGTGCTTCCCTTAGTGAATATGTATGACGACCTGAACTTCAGTCTCCTGAAGCCTCCATAGAGTTATCGAGGTAACCTGCCCTGATAGATCTAAACACAGGGAACAGTAACAACCTATTTTCTTATTAGGTCATTTGTAAAGCAAATTGAATTTCGCTAATCAAAGATTTAAAAAAGTTTTTTAATACAAATGTTTACGTTATGTTATTACGTTATTTTAACATGGAGACCTAGTTTTGTATTTACAACGAAAAGCCTCAATTTTTGTTAAAAACAATTTATTCAGAATTCAGACCCTTGCGCAGCGGAACGAACTGTTGTACTGACAAGACACTATGTGAACCCTTTGTGAAGTGTTTGTTGAGCTGAGGCACTAAGGTTGGGGTACAAAAGCGGAAAGAATATTCTTTGGTTGACTTATTTATCAACACTTATTAAACAAACGGGGAAAAATATAGCGGACTTTCCCAAAACCCGCCAAATTATCCCGGTCATGAATTTACCGGTGGCCGACCTTTCAAGTTTTTTTTCAGAGGTCAACAAATTTTCAACCGAAATTTCTGTTTTTTGTTACTTGTTAAAGAAGTTATTTCAATTAACAGTTATTGATATTACTCAGAAATAGAAAAAAAGACACGTCTATTTAAAGGAAAATAAATCTAAGTAATAATAAGTCAAATCTTCATTAAAGCGTATTCTCATTCTCATTATCGCTAATGTCCCCTCCATTATCATTATTGATATCATTTGTTTGTTTTTTAATTAATTTTAACCAGTTATATTATTATTATAATATATATACATATATTATTATTATTTTCGTTTTCTTCTTCTGTTTTATTCTCTACGATTTACTGATTCATGGACAAGAGAAATGAGAATCACGGTCCATCCTGAAATCTGATTTCTATAACCAAATTGTGATTTTTATAACGAAATTATGGTAGCAACAGCCAATAAAGTTACAGCCCTCCATCCACTGCTTCAAAAGTCTTCTCTAGCACATAATATGAGACTTCAGGTAAAATATGATGATCACCACCCCCTTGGAACCCCATAATCTGACTCGGCGGGTTTTATTATGACTGCGGTAAAATTTTTGACCGGGAAAAATATGGCGGAATTTTCCAAAACCCACCACTTTATCCCTGTCATAATATTCCCGAGTAAGGTATGTTTATTATGATATTATTATTCATTGTAATATGGCAATAAAATTTAAATTTTGTTTTACTTAAATTTTGTTTTCCTTAATTAAATTTGACGGGACTTTTAGGATATCTAACTCTAAGTTTGACCCATATCTATAATCTCTGAAATTTCTGTACAATTCTAAGAAGAATTACGTGAGTTAATAAAGGGTTGCGTGTGGGCAGTTACTTTTGGGCCACCCTGTAGTTTAGTAATTGAATTCTAGTCATTGGATCGTATTGAAAGTACATTACAGCACTAAATTGCGTGTAAGATCGAATTGAAAGCTCAAACACTTCTTAATATACTTCATAATACACAGCTTCTTAACTGTCATTTGAACCCTACCCAGGTTCTTGGTTGTCCGGCTGTTAGGATAGTTATAATATGGATTACATCACAAATTATACGTCACTGATTGGGCCATGTGATGTGATACCTGTGGGAGCCCGGAATGAGAGGTTCCTAGTTGTCGGTCACCGATTGAAAGTAATACTACACCTAAGTGTATAAGATTTAGAGTAGAGCGATACTTGTGTTTGGACATGTCAGTAGAATGCCTGAAGATCGGTTGCCCAACTATTTACTTGAATGGAAACCCAAGCATGGGAAGAGATCAAGAGGCAGGCCTAGGAAGAGCTTAAATGATGTATTCATTGAGGATGCTGAGCAGAGATTGGATCGTAATGGACTCACGATTGATTGTATGAGAAGATTAGCTGCAGACCGAAAGGGATGGAGAAATGTTACCCGCCGAAGTTGTATAATACAAAGTAATGACGCAGTCGACGCAGACTAATCCTTTTGGATGGAGATCTCGCCATGTAACATGTATGTATGATACCTACTTGTGTTATCGTATCCTACGCCCCTTCACAGCAAGTACTGCTTGTACATTGTACAATGTAGAGGTTTGCGGTTATATTTGCATGTACGATACCAATTATTGTACCTTCGTAATTCACATTATTATACAATACTTGATATTGTACCCTTTCTATTTACGCATACGATACTAAGATATTGTATCTATCGTGTTAGACTAGTGTTCGATACTTAATATACGTGAGTAATCATAGTTTTTAGTCGCTAAACGACTAAATTAGTGCAGTGCGCCGAAAACTCCGCTTCTCAATCCTCCGCACAACCCTCGCCGCCATCCGAGGACACAGAGGAAGAGCAGTCCAATGGTGCGACGACACGAACAGCGACATCAACCTCATACCAGGATGGACTAGTAATATGTGTTGATATTATCTTTATATTTTCAAATTGTATTGTATATAATAATTTTACACTTTGACCGTTGGGAGCGGTACCTTCGGAAAAAAAAAAAAATTAGTGCAGTGTGTAGTGTGTACCTAGTACTTGTGAGCAGGCGAAGTTTATCATTGGCACGCCCCGGGAGGACTAGTCTGGTTGCCGCCTTCTATTTTACACTAGCTGTGTTTTGCAGTTCAGTGTTGCTTTTCATAGTGCAGTGCAATGTGTCCCATTAATGATTTTAATTAACACGGTTTGTTTAAACTTAAAGCTATTTGACTGTGTTACCAGGCTTTCTACTAAGAAATGTGACTACAATTCAAAAATTCTAATTACTCTTGATACTTGTGTTACTAATGTGTATTTATGTATTTATCAATTCAAGTCTCCACGCCCTAGAGCCCTGGATTGTAGGTCGCTTCCCTAGAGTCTCGGGTTCTAGAGTTTGGACCGCACTTGAATAACCATTTCAAAAGGACACAGCGAAATATATTTTTGGAAATAGTAGACGAATAATGCATAAAATGGGTTTTATTGCACATGAGAAATGTATAATTAAAAAATTATAAATCTTCTACTATAGGTACTCACAATATGTTGAAACAGTGAGCTGGCAAATTTGTCTACTGTTTTTCACTGCAGCTGTTTTCCACCCTGAATTGTTGGTTGAGATTAGATGAAACATAAAACTCATAAGTCATAGCGACTATAATTATAATAATAAAATCATGTCATGGTTATCACAGTCATTCTGGCAAGCATGACATGATGACCGCGGCTCTTATAAAAGTTATACATTCTATACTATTATACCCCCTTTACTATTTTCCAGGCATTAAGTCTCATCGGAAGTCGTGTATTGGGAAGTGGGTTTTCTATTACAATTGTAAATGAATGGAAAAAGAAGGCGACCGGATTCATTATCAGTATCATATTGCATTTGCGGACGGTTATTCAAATTAATATAT